AATATGTTTGGCTGATTTTTTTTCCATTATTATTAGCATATTTAGCTATTAGAATTGCTAGAATATTATTAGTTAAGGTCATTACTCAGCTTATGTAAGGTTCTGTATTTATATTGGTTTTGTGGAAACTGTGGTATGCTTTGGTCAGCCCAGGGATCTCTGTACAATACGATGTGAGGCTGTTCTGCAGAGCCATTTTGTTACTCATTCCACCTGCTTTCAGTGCTCCTGGCTGCCTCAAACATTTTCATATTTAATTTCAAAGGAGAGGCACAAACTTTGCTTCAGTCTGTAGTGACACTTGCTGGCCATTCCACAGCAGCATTAAGAGAGCTTGCAAGTGTAGCCTAACCCAGGCTCCCGTCGAGAAGGTGGAAAGAGCGAACGCAAGTTGCCCGGCTGTACAGGGGGAAGCGTGGATTTCTTACTCCTGGCTTGTTTTCTTCTGCTGCAACATGAAAAACCCATGAGTCTTGACTAAGAAAATCAAGAGATTGACTTAAAATTCATGAGATCTTCATAACTATATATACATTTATTTTATTTATTCATCCTTTTTATTTCTGTTCTGCCTTTTGAGTCCCTTGAGTTCATGTTTTCTAGCTTTTCACTGAAACAATGAGGACCAGAACCAGAAACATACTTTTTAAATAAAATACAAGATTCTCAGGTAAACACATAATTCTAGCAGCTGAAGGACCTAATGTCATGAGACTAATAATCGGCACAACTGATTTCCTAACCTAATGATGTATGGCAATTTTGTGGATCAGGAGAGATTTGGAGCAGGAAAGAATGAGGAGCAATAATAAAAAGAATTCACATTCTTTCAGGAAAGTTTTAGTAAATTTCATTTGAGTAAGGTCTAGCCAGGAATTTTTTTGCTTGTTGGCTTGTAAGTAGAAGTGTTCTGCCACATTTGCTTTTATATGTCTGGGACTTAAAAAAGCACGATGTTTTCTCTGCAAAATGCCCTCCAGAAGACAGCAAGGGAGCCTAAATGATTATTCATATATTTCTGTCACTTGCAATAAAACTTACGACTTCAAGTGTTCAACATAGAGAAATGACCCATCAGCATCAGACAGGTAGTTGTTATGGCTTTGGCTCACAGGTTGGCTACTCAAGAACAAGCCTAGACTTGTGAGTATCTGTCCATCTCCAAATCCCTTCTCAATCACGTAGAACTGGGAAAGCTTCTATTGGTTTTGGTAGCAAGATTTATAAAGGACCCTGTGTTCCTTCCAGGGGAAACAGGGTTTTCCTGTTCAGAACAAGATTTTAGCGGAGGTTTTCTGCTAAATGGTGTTCTTTGGCAACAATAGTGTTTCATTTCATGTAGTTTTCTGATCTGGTTATATTTGAAGCAATAAGCAACATGCTATATATATTGTCATGCCTGTCTCCTAAATCTGTATTTGAGCCTTATAAGAAGAGAAGCCTGATTTTCAGCAGTAGTGAAAGCTTGTGGTTCTCATTGACTTTAGTCAATGTATTCATTGAAAAGAAAGAAATCAGACTGCCTATTCGTAACAAAAAAAATGTTGGAAATGTTTTCTCAGTTAGTATTTCTAAAAGTCAATGGTCTATTGAATTCTATAGCTAGTAGTATTTGTAGCCATTTCTGTTTGCCTTGTAAACAGTGTAAATTATCTGATGCTTGTAACTATTTCTAATGACTAGACTCACTCAGAAGTGTAGGTTTTCGTCTTCCACTAAATTTGTGACTTAGCATACCAGATGATGCAATTTCATTTAAAAAAAAAAAAAAGTATTTCTCAGCACCATCTCTTATTTCTCCAATGCCTAAAGCAACTGAACTTTCTGATTAAACAATACAGGTTGCATTGGTAATTAACAATCAATCAGTTAATCAGTATTTCTTATGATACTTTATAAACTGAAAAGTTTGCGTAAGAGTCAGCACTGCACATCTTACAAGCAATTCAATTAAACATAATTCTGTCAACTAAAACACAAGTGAGTTTGGGAGCATATAAGATTATGGACAAACTGAAATCAAGACTCAGAGATTGAAGAAAAGTGCTGGCTGTTACTACAGGTGCCAGGAATCACTTTCGCTACTGCATTTTGGATACTTTACAATTTTTGGAA